TAGTTTGTTTGCAAATAGTTTTTCAAGAATCTTTCAAAACTGAGGCAGTAAAGATACCGGTCTATAGTTTGACACAATCTTTTGTGTCTCCTTGCAGTTATTAATAATTATTGTTGCATTATTAATAACAGCATTTTGTAACAGTTTTACTCGTTCCTGGCTGTCATCGTATCAGCTTATTAAGCTGTTTGGGGTTTTTTGTCGGTTCAGATGTTACAGTGTGTTTTTGACCTTTTAAGAGGAGCACTGACATGTTCAGTGTGAGTCAGCCTGAAGAGATTTGGGCTTTTCCAACACAAACATCCAGTCAGTGGTTTTAATTTCACTCTGTCAGTCATTTTCTAAGGAGGGGGTGTCACTGTGTTTTAAACATCGTGGACCAAACATCCTCAGATCTGCTCGGCGTCACAGCTGCGGTCTGTCAAACCGCCGCGTTTAGCTGTGTGCGCATTTGTTTTGGTTAGCGTACAAGATTAAGATCTTAGCGTTTCCGAGGAAGAGTCATCCCGAGAGACGCGGAGGAAAACAAGCCGGGCCGCTGAGGTTCCTGCTGCAGGCCGAGAGTTCAGGTTCATATCTGAAGGCTGTTTGTGAAAGAGCCTCGATGTGGATAACGAGGCTGCAGGAGGTCAGGACGGATATGTCACAACACCACACAGAGCTCACTCTCAGCAACGTGAAGTTTGCCCTGAGGGAAGATGCGAAGGCTTCATCCTGCAGAGTTAAGGAGGGTCTGCAGTCAGTTTAATGAAAATGTGGCTGCAGACGGTGCTGCATGAAGCGTCGGTGCTCTCCTGAGACTTTGTGCACACTTTAAATAAGCACGATGAATATTAAATTATGTTTTGCACCCATCATCATGTGCAGCCCTTAAACACTTTAAACTTCTCATCCTGCACCATTACTTTTATACCAGATTGACACACCTGCGTGATCATCGATTACAGCGCTGACGATGAGGAGGACATGCTATCTGACCGCTGATGACAGTCACCTGGAGGCATGCGCACATGAAGCACACAAAGAGAAAGAATTAAAAAATCTGAGCGCGCTCAGTCCATTTTCTCCCGCAGACACAAAATTCTATAACAAGAGGACAGCCGAAGAGCACTGCATGCATCTACACACAGCACTGTGCAACACTGTGTAAACACATGGAGCAGTTTAGCTTGGAAGTAAATATTTAGTATGACCAAGACTCAAAAAACATCTGTCAGGTGTGAGGACTGGACTGAAAAAGCAGCCAATGTCCAAAGAAGAACTTTGGAAGAGCTTCAGGAAGAACTGTGACGGGAAGGAAGTCCGAGTTCTTGGAAGTTAACTGTCAAGAAATAAGGGCCAGCTCAAGACTTTTGCACAGCGTAGCATCTTGTTCAAATAACATCAAAGGGTTAAAGAAAAAGAAGAAAAAACAGAGACTCGCTTTGTTAAGAGAACAAATAAAAAACTGAATAAAATACAATAACGTGTTTATTTCAGGGTCTGAATGTTCTTGCAGCACGTCTGCTGCCTCGACATGAAGGAATCAAAAACTATCCGTTCACCTTTGACCTCTGATGAAAATGTACACAGTCAGCCGCCCTCCGACTCCGTGAGGAAAGGAGCTGTTATCATTACAGCACAAAGAGCTCCGCCTGTGTCATTAGTGTTGTGGTGATGGGGGCTGATGGGGGCACTTAAAGAGCTAATAGAGGGTTGTTTTGCTGAGAGCCCGGGGGATCGTTTTATCTGGGAATCTGTAGGATGGATGTGGGTCGGAGTAATGACCGAGGCCTCTGAGCGTGCTCCAAAAAACAAAAAAAAGTCAGCGTTTTGGAGATTTAATCCTCTTATTTAGTCTGTCAGTCTCAGCTCCAACAAACACGTTCCACGTCTCAGCGTCCACTTAAGACATCATGAAATGTGACTGAAGGAAAAACAAACAGTGTAAGATAATCCTCCCTGTCAGAGAGTCCTCCCTCATATAACTGTTGTCTTTTAGAAAATACTCTGAAAGTGAACGCAAAGGCAGTTCAAACGAGACACAAAACTACCAACAGGGGGCTAAATGGCCCCAAAATAACTGAAAAGCTGCTTAAATGTGCACACAAGAAAGAAAATCTACAAATTCAAAAACAAACCAAGTAAAATAATAATAAAATGTCACAGTTACTCCAAAAGGACCTGGAAGTACAGCCAAATGTGTAAAATGAAGAAGGGGAGACAAAATGAGCATAAAAGAGGAAAAACGTCAAGTTAACAAAAAGTCAAGCAGACATGAAGCAACATCGCAGCAGAAGAAATGAACGAATGTCAAAGAGGTTCAAAATGATTAAACTGAACCCATAAAATGACCTTAACCTCTTAAGCCCCAAGCCTACCTGATCTCCTGCCTTTTGCCCCCGTATCAGGGGGCGTTGGGGCTTAAGAGGTTAAATACAAGTGCTGCAAAAGGATCAAGTGAATCTATAAAATGACCTCAAGGAGAAGCCAAACCAAACGGGACACAAAATGTTCACAAAATGGGAAGAAAAACAAACAAACAACAAAATCAGGACAGGGAGGCATAAATAAGAAAACTACCACACATCAGATGGATGCAAAGACAATCACAACAAAGTAAAAGAGGGATGCAAAATGATGACAAAGCCATTAGAAACCAAAGTGATGACATGCAGAATTAAACAGGAGACGTTTACTCAAGTCCAAAGATACGAGAGATTAATGTGTCCACAGACCCCGTCTCATATCTGAACCACACTTTGTTGGTGGGAATAAAGGACTTCTTTCACCATCAGCTGGAGCACAAGCTTTAAGGGGACATGAATCGTGCATGTGTTTGCAGCCTGTTAAAATTATGCCGGCATGACAGAGTCAACAGGGCAAAGCTGTTTCTCAACTTTACACCTATCACAAAGAGCCGATGAAGAGGAGGCCCTGCACGTGAAGAAGATGCAGATCAGCGTGTGAGGTCCAGAGCGGTGAGCGTGTCTGAACATGCCGACAAAACAAACTGCAGAACAGCCACAAAGACAAAGAGCTTCTTGCAAACGTAGCTGTGAGTGCACAGCCTAACCAAAGATTATCTCAAGCTTCAGCTGAATCAGAGGACGCCTCTTCCAAAGTCACAG